GCTTTTTTCAAGACATTGTTTTGTATTTAGAGGCCTAAGATACACCCGATAATTGGAACTGGTGTAAACTATCACTATCTGTAACTCTTCAAGACAATTTGAAATATGGAGCAAACAGATAAGATATAATGGTTTGGCTGCATATGACATTAAATCAAGATCTACAACTAACAATTATCATGAATGAGGAAAGCCAAAAAACACATAAAGGAAACCTAGTTAAGTGGGAGGCTGGCTGGTCAACTCGCAACAGAGCACTGGCCGCAAATTTCTTACCATATTCCTTCATGCACAGCAATAAATTTAAAACTTAGTCACTTGTGAGTAACATGCTTGCAATATGCATGGTGCGTATTAAGTACACAGATTTGCTTTTACTGTCCTGGTCCTTCCCTGTTATAAAGATCAGAATCATCAGGGTAACCATCGCAACTTCAAGAACATTTAGCCATCAAATTGCCTAATTCTCGAGGGTCTGCAAGAATTATGGGTCCAATAACTTTACGACAAAAATAGTTAGAGGGTTTGATATCACGCATACAGTGTATAACATGATTCGGCAGATCCTATCTTCCAACTTTTGACAGGTTAAATTTTGCCTGCTTTCTTGCATGGTTATTGAAGAAGTATCAGCATCCGTTGTTTCTTTAACATTGGACAAACGACATTTACGATATCCCTACACGGTTACACGGTTACCGTCAGCACTTATCATTCTGTAATTCAATAGAACTTTTGCAACCACAAATTTGCTTCGTCTGGCTGAAAAAACTACTTTGTTATACCGGGGAAGAAGTACAAGTCCTTTCGCAGACGGTTGATGAACTCTGATGCTTGCTTGCCACGGTCGAATGCGGAGCCTGGTATGCTCGAGGTTTGTTCAGAAACAAGACGATTCACCTAAAGACAATCAATTATAAGTTAGCAAATCCAAGTTACATACAGTGACAAACTAAATTTGTAACGTTTGGTAATGTTCTTTACATATGCCAGACGTGGTACTACATATACGACCGTTCGAAACATCTCCATGCTATATCCTTCTTTTCTTGGTGTTTGACAGAATCATTGATAAATATTAAAGGAAGAATATTTATAATGTACATTTTTCATTGGCATTGCTAGAAAACTTTTATACTGATTGAGTTAGTTAAAAACGTTTACACCTACAGGTGAAATATGATAATAAATAAACGTTTACACCTACAGGTGAAATATGATAATAAATACCTCTGTCATCATGGACAGGATAGTTGAATCCTTTGCACGTTTCATGAAGACCTTGGTGATGGCCTGTATGAACCAGCTACCATTGGAGGCGTTGCGGAACGACACGTTTCCTGTGTTAAAAAATAATTAAGCAAAAAGTTATAGATTTCAAACATGTGGAGATATCTAAAGGTCCTTCTTAGAAATTCGTTTCTAACGACCAAAGAAATGGTCTGATGTACTAGGCCTAGGACAGAAACCTGGATAGTCGGCTAAAAGAGGCCCGAACATAACCTGTCACGGTGACAAACCATAAGTGGGCATTCTCAATGAATTACAGTAACAATGTGGATAGACTTTCCTTTCAATCCGGGGTTAGTCAAAATCTACCTTGCTTGCATCTAGTGCATTCCAATACGGACACAGAAGCAAACACACACAAACACAGAGAGAGAGAGAGAGAGAGAGACGCGCGCAGATGCAAACACACCAAACGCAATACCTCCGTACTAGGAGGTAACGATGAGAAACATATATCTATATTATATGTATATGTATATCTATATTATGCATTTTGTGTACAAAGTGACACAAAACCTTCACTCGGTTTCACTAGGAAACGAGCTTGTCCTTGGATCACAATATACATCTTTGGGCAGAATATCAACGTATAATTACCTAGCTGTGTGGGATAACATATCAGCATATCTGTAGCCGTCGGCTGATCTGTAGAAACGTCGGCTTCGTGGCGGCCAGTGACATTCTCAAAGAAATTACTCGGCAGCAAAGACCCTGCGTCAGGTACGTCTGGGCCGGCTGTTCCCCTGTCAGCTGTATCTGGAAAAATGAACATTAGAAATTTGAAAGTTTTTTATGGTATATATCTAAAATCGGTAATCAACAGCAGAAGCAGGTATCATGATTATTTGCTAATTTGAAGTAGATAGTTGTAAGGAATATAAAAAAAAAAACACATGCCATACCTTGGAAGTCATCATGAGGCTAAACATTGTGCATGCGTTTTGTTCTATGAAAAAAATTCCTTCCCAGTATGTACCGCTACTAGATCTATGCACAATATTTATTTAAAAATCGGATAAACAAGCCTTCATTTCGGGTTTAAATTGATTTTAAAGTTACTTTCAGGACGCTGTGGGGTGCTGCTAATTTACGCTAGGTTTGTATTTTTGGGTTCTCAAATGAGTGGGCGGAGATTGAGTTTCAATTGATTGACAAGTTTTTGACCAGGTATATCCTAGTTTCAAGGATATAGTCGCCATGATGAAATAGTAGATTAAATTCCGTCATACAATCGTCATGTATCTACTTCCTAGAGCTCAGTAAAAGTTTGAAACATCTTTTTCAATGTTGCATTGGAACTGTCACGTACCTCCACGGCAGGCCTGGAAGAAGAATAGCTTGGGTTTTCCCCGCAGAGCTGGGCAGTTCACGTTGTCAAACATGCTGATGATTGTAGGGATGTTGACCGATGGTGATGTTGATGAGTCCTGTCCGTCACGACCGTAGATGTGTTCGGGCTTACCGTGTGACATCATCACCACCACACAGCAGTCGGCAGTCTGATGAGCCTCTTCCATCGCGAAAGACTGAATCCCAGTCTCAATTTCCTGCAGGTGAAAAAGTGTTGCATTCGGTACTACATTCTGGTATCTCCGTGTATCAGTTCTACCCACTTTCTTTAACCTATGACATTGTTCAACTATGATATTTTTTAAGTAAAGAGAAGCTTTGATAGCAAACTTATAGGATCTACGACTGTTTTTTTTGGGGG